AAAGTCACAATCATACATTTACACTTGCTCTGATAAAAGTTTATAATATAATCTCACACATCTATAACTTCATTTCTTAACATCAAGAAAATAAAAGTAATCTCCCTTATAATCTTATAATATGAAAACAAAATCTACAAGAGCACCTCTGAATTTGTTCTTTAGTCCACTGAATAAAATACCTGCAGTACAACATAATATTATATATTGTATTGTACCATCAGCCTCATTTCAGTGAGCATAGCAACATACTGTTATCCACCATTATCATAGCCAAATATCTGCTCATCTATTACACCAACAATGTAAATAAATTTCTATACTATCCAGTACAAAGCATACCAAAATCATTACGCCAGGCATTTTATGTATACAATCAATCTATATACCATAACCTCTTGCCACACAGATGATAAAGTACTAATCAGATTAATAACCTCAAATGGTCGATAACCCAGGATAATCCCAAGTTATGAAATGTGGCTTATTTCTATTAGGTTCCTGTATAGGTCCTCCCCCAAAAAATACATCCCACAACAGATGACTAACGCTTTGTTATTTGTTTACTGCTTAAGAGTTCAAACCCAAGTACTTTTAGTTGTGAGCCAAACACGCTACCACTTCATTACAAAATACCACAAACAATTACAGTGACCAAACCAGGAGGAATGGATGAAGTCATTATTTTTCTCACATTCTTTTCATGCTAAATTTCAGCATCATTTTAACACAGAAATATAGTATATTCATTTTCAATATGGATAAATGTAAAAAAAAAATATTTTTAAACAAACCTAATGAGTAGCCATTATCAACAATACTAAACTAACAAAAGAAAATATTTTGCTAAACCACTAGAACACTGCAAAAGAAATACAAAGAATTATACAAGAAACTGCTTCCTTTGACAGAATGCACAGTACTTCTTTCCTCAGTAGAGTAGGGCCCCAACTTACAAAGTTTCTCACTTGCAACATTGGCACTGTGGAACCAATTAATTATGAACAATAACTTGGTCCTTTGACAAACAGAACAACTATTATAATTTTCTTCAGTACAAATTATAAAATATTTTTCTTGGTTAGTTTTTTACCAAATGCATTTAAACTTTATGTTTTATGCAAGTATGGAGAAACTCATATTTGTTTGGTAAAAACTAATTGAGAACTAAGGCTTCAATATTTACACTGTTAGTACATCAATGGTTGGAGGTGGGTTGGTTGACTGTGGGCTCGGAGGGAGGCCTCAATCAGCACTGCTAGCTATGTGTTGGACCTGTTCAGTAAACACTCTCCCTCATACCCACCCCTCACACCTGCACCACCCTCACACCTGCACCACCCTCGCACCTGCACTGCCCTCGCACCTGCACCGCCCTCGCACCGCACCGCCCTCGCACCTGCACCCCAACCCTCGACCTGCACCACCCTTGCACTTGCACCTGCACCACCCTCACACCTACACCATCTTCAAACCACATCACCCTCACACCTACAGACTTCACACAACATCACCACCTTCACATCCACACTACCAACCTTCACACCTATCTACTTTCACACCCACACTACCTATCCCTCACACCCACACCACCCAGCTTCACATGCACCCACTCACACAAATCCTCTCTTGCCCTCTATTTGTGAAAACAACAGTCCTAAAAGTAAAATATCAGATAAAATTCATGTGTAAAAATTAAATGAAATCAGATAAAGATTATTATGGTTTGAGAATGCATTAATTCATTTCACATTGTTTCTTACAGGAGAACAGGTTCTGAGTACTAAACAATGGACTCACAATGAATATTCTGACACATCAACATCATAAGTTGGAGCCCTACTGTATATTAAAAGTTATCACATCACTGGCATCCCTTATCATCATCTTTATCTAACCTAGTTGTGGAAATTGAAAGGTATATCTTGTTACAAAACAATTCCATTGCTCCCCACATTTAATGTAGCTGTCAGTTATTCTATGAAACCAATTAAGACCCTTACAATAAGTTCAGTAAACAGAATTCTTCAGGTATAGTTTTTAAGTAATTCAGCTGAATTTTCAATTTCTATGCTTCATGTGCACTCTTTAATAGCTTCCTACAATATGGCAGCCCTTGAAATATTAAAGGCTACATATGTATTAGTGACTTTCTGTGTACACCAAAGAACACTGCATCTGTCCAAACTTGTATGGTAGTAAAATCAACCTCTGAAACTCACCATAATGCAAGCATATAAGGTGAACAGCAACTAATAACTGCAAATACATTAACATCCCTTATTTGGAACTTATTCTTCAAAATTCTTTCCAATTCTGATAAAAACAAATAAATACAGAATGCACCCCAAAATTTAGAATTTTCTAAATACAAAAATATTCAGTAAATATGATTATTTTCAAAACTAATTTTCCAAATACAGTGGACCCTTGGTTATCGGCCGTTCCTGTTATCGGCCAACTCGATGATCGGCTGTTTTTTTGGCTCCCTGTGATCAGCCGTTATTTCGGTGATCGGCTGTTTCGGACGCGTCCGTCCACTGGCTGGGGCTGCTTGCACGTCAGTGTTGGCTGTATCTTTCAGTGTGTGAGGAAGCTTCTGTCATACATCCAAACATTTCGCTTATTTTCCATTGTTTCTTTGTGTGGTTTTTTTGCAGTGCAACTGCGAAAAAAGGGTAACCAGAGCTCAAAAGAAAGTTCCTAGTAAAGTTCCTGTGGTAAAGAAAGTGAGAAACACCATGGAATTTAAGCTTTGAAGTGTACCAGGCATGCAGAGAGTGTAGAAGGCATGCAAAAGAGTTGCAGGCATTCAGGGAGTGTAGCAAGCTTGCAGAGAGTGTAGCAGGGATGCAGGGAGTTTAGCAGGCATGCAGAGGTGTAGCAGGCACGCAGGAGTGTAGCAGGCACGCAGGGGAGTGTAGCAGGCACGCAGGGGAGTGTAGCAGGCACGCAGGGAGTGTAGCAGCACGCAGGGAGTGTAGCAGGCACGCAGGGAGTGTAGCAGGCACGCAGGGAGTGTAGCAGGCACGCGGGAGTGTAGCAGGCACGCAGGGAGTGTAGCAGGCACGCAGGGGGTGTAGCAGGCACGCAGGGAGTGTAGCAGGCAGCAAGGGAGTGTAAACAGGGGACGCAGGGAGTGTAGCAGGCACGCAGGGAGTGTAGCAGGCACGCAGGGAGTGTAGCAGGCCCGCAGGGAGTGTAGCAGGCATGCAGGGAGTGTTAGCAGGCACGCAGGGAGTGTAGCAGGCATGCAGGGAGTGTAGCAGACATGCAGAAGTGTGACAGGCATGCAAGGAGTGTAACAGGCATTCCAGAAGCCAGCTTTAGTTTTCAATAAAGTATGTAATACTGATTTAATTGTTAAAAAATTATTTTTTGGTGAATATTTTTTATCTGGACGGATTTAATTGTAATTACATTAATTCTTATGGGAAATATTATTTCATTTTTCGGCCATTTCAGTTTTAGGTCGAGCTTCTGGAAGGGAAATTACGGACGAAAACCCGAGGGCCCACTGTAGAAGTAAAAATTTAAAATTACAGTTTCTGTAGAAAATTTAATATTTATCATTTTTCCATGTATGTTGTAAAATTTTTTATCACTCAGAATGTTCTTTAATTTTGACTTTCCTCACACAGTTATTCTCCCCAAATAAAAGAAATATCAAGTATGTAACTAAAAGAATATCTGAAGATTCTACTTTTGAACCATCAGATATGATACAGAACATGTGACAAATTAAAAAACTGGGACATATATACTGTACTATATAAAATTATAAATTGGCATAAGAAAATAGTATCATTACACCATTCTCATAGTCATTTTAACAGAATATTGCTACAGTCTGAAATAGTAACTAGACAGCTTAAGAGCAATAACCAATTTATATATATTTTATTAAAATATGAAAAATAAAAAAATTAATATGCATACTGTTACCGAACTTGAACCCTCGATTTATCAGACTAACAGGGAAAAAAGCTGTTGCCCGTAATGGCGATTGTAGTGGATAGCCCTGATTGTAAAAATTGTGTACAATTCTGTAACCAACAAACTTATCATTTCCAAATCAACCGACGCAGTGGATTGTTGTCCTGCATTTACAAAATCCATCTAATTGAAGTCCCTTTAAATCAGGGGTTTACGTTACTGTCCACATACAAAAAGTAATGGAACAAACTTTTTTTCTTGTACTATTGTACTATCACAGTAAGGCAAGTGAAAGCCTTGGAGAGCAACTCTACTTGCTTCACTATTTACTCATTAGCCATACTTTCTTTAATTAAAATTTTAGACCAAATAAACTGATCTTTATTAACAACAGGAAATATGAGTTAAATGGGAACAATAGATCTTTAACCCTTTCAGGGTCGAGAGGCCCTTTTCCTAAAACTTGTTCTCAGGGTCGAAAATTTTTCGGAAAAAAAAAAAAAAAATATTTTTTCTTATGAAATGATAGAGAATCTTTTCCCTATCATAACGACACCAAAAGTATGAAATTTGATAGAAAACTTACACAATTATGCTCTCGCGAAGTTAGCAGTCTCGCCAATGTTTAGCATCGGCGATTTCGCCCATTGAGCCCTATTTTTGGCCAATTCCTGTGTACTAGTCGACAAAAATCATATTTATTTTGCTAGAACTCCATTTTTTCTATCGAATGAGTACAAGAAACCACCCATTTACCAATTTCAACTATCCAATAAAGTGGTTAGAAATTGGCAATTTTGCCAATTTCACACAAATTTCAGAAGATGCCAAAATTTTCCCAAAAAGGATCCAGAATAAACAAGACAGACATTCCTGGCACTAAAATAACAAGTTCTTTGTTCGTTAGTCATGTCCCCAGGCCCCTCTTAAATTTCTTTCGCTTTCCACTTTGAATTTTTATTCTTACAAAAAATAGAAGATTTACTGTTATGCAGACTACTGCATTAGTGTAGAAATGGTATAAATAATAATCAAACGCACTTGTGAAAGGGCTATTAACTCAAAAGTTGACGTGTATTGGACGCTTGGCATGATTTGTTTACTTTTGAACTTTGGTAAAAATCGAACATTTCTGCTACTTTGAGCTAAATTTCAAGGTACTTTTCATTGTGAAACCAGTCAAAATCATCTCAAGTTCTGTAATATGTCTTCCATTCTATAAAATGAGACCAGGAAAACTAGAATACAACCATAAATACCATACGAAAATATAGTGCAAAGTCGCTGTTTTAATCCAAAAACACGGTCAGTTTTTTTTTTTCTCATTACGCACTGTGTGCTGCAGGATTTTTTTTATACTGCGCACACTGAGCACATAGACCCATTCTTTCATATGTAGGCCTACCAGCTTTCTCTCGCTAGATTTGAAGGCGCTGGAATTTAGGCGTACTAGTACGTCAATAACCCTGGTGTGTAAGCCATACTAGTACATCGAAAACCCTGAAAGGGTTAAGGATAAAAGACATACATACCATGACAGAAATCCTAGAAGAATTCACACAACAATACAAGAAAAAATTAAACTGGCCATTTCCCACCTAGGCAGGATAATTCGAGGATTCATCACTCACTGAACATTCATCACATATCTCTGCTTGTTTTTCTAGAAGATAGACACTACACTCCAATGTTGACCCAATAAGTCACAACTTCTCCATGCCACTTTCAATGTACAGAGACTACTTCGAAGTTTCCAAAGCATAAGCCCAGCTAAATACGTTTCCCTGAATCCCTTCACAGATATTACATTCCTCACACATTTTCTTATCATCATCTAAAAAATTAGACCAGTAAATCTCTCCTTTGTTCCTCTTTTCCACTTCTTTACCACACTTCTCTTTTTTTCCTAAATTATTTTCATTTGATAACAGAATATTTGAAGGATTAGATGGCCTGGGCAGTGATTCTTGAAGTGCCATGTCTAGATAAGAAAAAGTCAAACTAAATCAGGCAGACAGAATTGCACCTATATACAAGCAGTTTAAAACTTTGTGCAACCACTGGACCACATGAAAGATTATATAAATTGCCTTGGTAAATTAACTTAGAAGTATGAGACAAAATAAAATATCAAATTCTCTCATAAGAAATAGGGCTTTAAAATTATGCTCTTTAGGGCCTGATGCACAACACCCCTGTCCATTTGGGCACTCAATAACCAGAGGAAACAGACTCTTTAAATGCAAGTTTCAATCACCACTAAGCACTAATTTTGCTGCATAATTCCACAAGTAATAAATACATTAATGATAGTTTTTATTTTAAACAATTCTGACCAGACTGAAAGGTAAAATTATTCATAACAGGTCTATTATCAGTGATCTGGATCCCGATTTTATGTTCCCATTTCTAATGAGTTACATAGGTGAAGGTTATGTGAAATCTACTAGTATTAGATATACTGTACCTCCCTATGGAAGTAATAAAATGAGCTTCAGTCTGAAGACAATCAACTAATTTATAAAAATATACTTGAGACTTGTTTTCTCAAGTAAATTATAGAGAAAAATATAATAAAATTAGGCAAAGGGCACATACATAAGTGCAATCCCCTACCATAGGATGAATTACAAATTGTTGTAAACACTACTCTTCCAGTAGGGGGTAGCCCACTACACACCCTCGATGCCCTCTACACACTCCTGGTGGCAAGCAACCCACTACACACTCCCAGTGGAGAGCAACCCACTACACACTCCCAGTGGAGAGCAACCCACTACACACTCCCAGTGGAGAGCAACCCACTACACACTCCCAGTGGAGAGCAACCCACTATACACTCCCAGTGGAGAGCAACCCACTACACACTCCCAGTGGAGAGCAACCCACTACACACTCCCAGTGGAGAGCAACCCACTACACACTCCCAGTGGAGAGCAACCCACTACACACTCCCAGTGGAGAGCAACCCACTACACACTCCCATTGCAGGGTAACTTGCTATACACTCTTAGTTCAAGGCAGCCTGTTATACACTGCAAAGAGCAATTCATTCATGTTTATATCCCTTCATTTAGCGTGATAAATTTTCAAACATACAAAATACACTACTACTACTAATCTCATTCATGTCTTGTGTATTAATGCTAATATATTTAGTATTGTATAATGTTTCAATATGCTATACAGTTCACAGTAATTTATCCCTAAACATTTATTATCTTAAACCTATAATTCTTTACATTGCATGGTTAAGTATTTAGAAAGTATTATGGAAAATATAAAAAGCCATGAAATCATATAAAAAATTAATCTACTTCTTAATAATGCACTTCAGCAGAAGTACTGAGAATCAAATTTTTTTTTACACAGGTATCAAACATTTTAAACAATCTCTCACTGTAAATGAATTAACCACATTTTGACTTCAAAACTTCCTATATATGTTTTATCAGCATTTTCCCCTAAATGCTTATGCTTAACTGTAGTGCTCATATTCTAGTAAAATACATGTACTCTGTTCACAATTATGAATATAATATTTTACCAAAGCAATACTATAAAGCTTTGGAGAAACTTCATCTGAAGTGATTAGTTATATCTGGCAGTATTGAAATGATACTTTGGTAGCAGTCCCCAGTTCCCTTAATCACAGCCAAAACCTTTTATCTTAACCGTTTGACTTAAAATAAAACCCTTAACCTCTCCAGTGCTTACTGTGATCTTTAATCTTCAGCCCTGAGAATGCTATAGGTTGGTCAGCAGATTTGTCAACAACGTACTGTGTGAATCTCTTGAGAAACTTCGGATACTCACGTTTATATACAGTCCTTAGCACAGAGGCAGGAGCCCACCCACCAGGGTTCACTGTGGAAAACAAACTCAAACTAAATCACAAATCACAACAAATGTTAACTTAAAATTTCCATTCTACATCAGCACATTTTAAATCACAGTACAGTACAGCAGAAATTTGCAAGATAATGCTTAGTGGAAGCTATGGAAAATGTTTACTGTTTATTAAACTATGGTTTGGCAATTGGACTACCCATAAAGTGTGCGATATTAATTTAACCCTTAAACTGTCCAAATGTACATCTACGTTTGCACGCGTAGCGCTCCGACCTTGATTTTCTCTATAAGAATGTAAAAAAAAACGTAGATCTATGTTCGGAGCGCTACGCGAGTGAACGTAGATCTACGTTTGGAGGGTTTAAGGGTTAAACAGTTTCAAGCATGCACTGTTCAAAGTTCATTCATTTACATCTACAATGAACAGATAGATACTACAATACCTAGCATGAAATACTAATGTTGCACTTTAAAAGGTCTCAAAGCATAAAGACATAAAAATGTACACTAAATTATAGAAAAGAACTCCACTGAGATGACGATGCACAAAAATAGAAAGAAATAAACAGTCAAAAGAACTGTTCTGAATCAGATTTCTGAATTGAGGGCTGAGGGGCCAAATTGGAATTGCATCTCACCTATTTTTACCCAATTTAAATTGTGGTAAAGCACTAATGCACTATAAAGCATGTAATGGTACTGGTGAGAAAATATTTTTATCTATGTAAACAAATTGTAGAAAAATTATGGTTGCATATTTTTACCCATACATTGGCCCCTTCGTGATAAATATACATTAAGAGTTAAGTGAATTCCAAAAAATCTGTTACAGTTTGATGGCTCATAACAAACATAAGGAAATTAACAAGTTCCATAGAAGACTAAAATGCTGGGAACAAGGGGCTAGTACTCCTTTTTATGTATATGAAGTATGTATAAATGTTCAGAAAGATCAGTTATGAATGAAAGGATGTTAGATGTCTGAGCACTAAGTGCAGCAAAGTTAAAAGTGGAGGTGGTTTAAATAAGCTGAAAAAATGAGATTAAGTCACTAAATGATTAGATTCAAAAACTGTGTGGTTTAGAATAAAGGTTAGTTGTGAGAAATTACATGTATTTATGAGCATAAGAAAGGAGGAACAGTGCAGCAGGCCTGTTGGCCTGCTGCAGGTGCCTCTTTTCTTAATGTGCTAAAATACATACAGTACAAATATTAATTTGTAACAATAATATGGCCTACACATTCACTCACCTACGGAACAATATGTTATCTTTGTTAGAAGATTGTCTCGTGTAATAGGTTCACCGTGAGCAGGTGGTGGCTCGATGAATGTCTGGCACACAAAACAAACTGTAAGGTCCACTCGAACACATTTTCCATCCTTCTGAAAATACAGAAGCATTTGAAATGTGGGAGAAGTGGTGAGAGGTCTAGCATGCAATATAACATTACTTCTCTCTCACAGACGCAATCAAACCCCCTCTCTCCCTGGGTGATTCGCACTTTAAATACTGTGTATAAGCATTATCCCCATTTTCCTCATATTTTAATTGATGATGAAGAGGATATGAAAATACTGTAACTGTTGATGCAGGAAACAGCTGATTGAGTCTCAGCTGTGGAGACTTGCAAAGTGATAAACAATATGTTTATAAGCACTGTTTTTCACTGAACATAGAAGCAGTCGTTAATGAGGGGTATGGACAACCAGAAGCCTGTAATTTGGTCATTAAATGAGCTGGAGACAGTCATTAAGCAGGGAAACTATCAAACTTTTTTTTTCTGGTGGGGTAGGGGTCATTCAAAATTATATTAAGCAAACAGTTGTTCAGTAGGTAATCACTATAATCACTAAAAAATCAAGTCCCAAAATGCTCAGAACACACCAACACCCCACAAACACACCCCACACCCCACAACACACAAACCACACACACACACACACAAAACCCCACACCCCTGCCCACGCCCCGCCCATGCCCTCCCCAGCCCGCCAGCCCCCCCCATGTAAAACCCCAGTATCAAATCCTCGGGAAAGTAGAGGGAGCAGAAAGGGGGGAAAATTGCAGCATTAACCCTTTTCGGGGTTTTCCCCCCGTAGATCAACGGCTTTACGTTGAGTGCCCCAAACCTTTTAGATCTACGCCAAAATTTTCTAGCGCCGTCAAATTTTAGCGCGAAAACGCTATGGGCCCTACAGGGAAAGGGGAAGGGGGTCTGCGTGGTGGGTGTGCGCCATAAAAAAAAAAATCTAGGCCCCCGCATAGCATTGGGGGAAAAACCCCCGGCAGTTCCCCTTGTTCACATGCCTGTCGCAAAGTCAGCTTCACTCCCGGAAAAATTGGGACTCCCCTTTCCTATTGTAGTTCTGACACTGAGGAAGGGAATGAAGGAATTTACGGCTTTGATCAGTTAGTGACCGAAAGAAATGACCAGGTTATCAAAAATAGTGCGAAAACCGAGTCCTAAAATTTACTCGGTGTGGGCATCGTGCTCCGGCGGGTTTAAGCAAAAAGGCTTTTTTGGGGGGGGTGGCAGGTTGTTTGTAATGATGTGTGTGGGGGAGTGATTTTTTTGACTCAAGTCTTTCGGTAGTGTAGTGAGGTTTCATATTCACCGTGAAGCGTCGGTATGTTCGCTCCCGCATGCGCTCGGGTGTGTACCCTATGTGTGTCCGGGGGGAGGGGATAATCCCGGAGTAACCCGGGGGTACACCCCGGGGCCCCAACCCCAGTTTTAGGTAGTGTAGTGGTGTGGTAGTGGCACTGCCATGCGTGACTCACCAGGCCAGCTGGGACCCACGCTGTTTTGATCGTCTTTCAAGGAAAAAGCGGAGCGCCAGCCACCAGCCCACCCAATCACACCACCCACAACCAGCCCATGATGTCCAGTATCCACCAGCAAACCCTTTTTTGGGGGATTGGCAGAAAAAACCCAAGCCAAGCCCCACCACTTTTTATGACTCTCAAAAATGGGAAATTCTACTACTTGTCCCCCTTTGGGAAACCCCGGCCAAAGAAAAGGAATTCTTTGAATTATTCTTTTTCCAGCCTTGATGGAAAAATTTTTGTAAAGGAAAGTAAAAGTATTTTGAGTACAATGGGAAATACGTTTTACCACAGTCAAGACTACACAGTGGAAAGGGACAACTGTTGCAGAAATGTATTTGCTTTTTGCAACAATAAGTTTTTCCCCACGTCTATAAATAATATAAAAGCATATGGTCCAAGATCGGCTAAATTTTACCCCGGGCTTCGTGAAATCCTACCCGTGAAAAAGGTTTATTTACTCTTACGTATGTTGCATTCTCTGACAAAACCAGGCCCGACAGAAGTGACAGGTTATACAAAATTAGAAAAGTTTTCATGTATCTCAAAAAAAAGTTCAGCAATACTTTTATCCATTCAAGAATCTTGTAATTGACGAGTCTTTGTTTTGTTCAAAGGTAGCTGTCATTCAAGCAGTAATACCGGCAAGAGGAAACTCTTTTTGGGAAAAACTGTTTGTACTCTTGCTTGACGTGGCCTGGTGTTGGATTTTGTTGATACATGGGTAGTAAAAAAATTTAAAAATACCAAAATGTTATTGGGGATCTCAGTTTTACGTAAAGGGGAAAAATGATGGCCCTTTTTCTTGGTAAAGGGGAACATTATATACCCAAAAAACTGGGACACAATCCCCTTAATCAGTGATTTCATGCGAGTTAACAAGACGATGTGTGTGGCACAGTGGTTTAATCGTAAAAAATTGGCCCCGGCTAACGCAGGTGCTCGTGGTGATGACGTGCAGGTGTTTTCTGCCAATGACATCGGCATTACGGGGCATGACAAAAGAGATGTCACATTGTTGCAACCATTTACCGTAATGAAAAGCAAGACAGTGGCAAAGTTGATCGATGACTAAAGAACGTATTCGAAAACCCGTGACGTATTGATTATACACAAAACTGTGCTTGGTTGCAAATGTGACAGAGATTTGGTTTTTTTTGACTGTGTTCGTAAAAGGGTTTCAAATGGTACATGAATTTTTTCCATCTCTGGACATTTTCAATGCTCAATGCATATAATATGTACCCAAAAAAAGACGGCAACAGCCACCGTATGGTAATTTTGTTTGTCTTTGTCAGAAAACCATAATGAAGTCCCGGTAACAAACCCGCTATAAAAACAAGGTCCTCGAATTCCCCCGGATATACCCAAGGTTTGAGGAGGGAAAATGATCATTTCATAAACAACTTCCTTAAAAATCAAAGAATTTGCTCAGAAGAAGCTCGTTGTGCAAAAACAAAAAACGGCAACAAAGACGCAAAGACACTCGGTTTTTTTTGTGAGGAATGAAAGGTGCCTCTGTGCATGGTGCCTTGTTTCGGGAGTTCCACAAGCTCCGCAGTTTAAAAAACCATGTCCAGTGTTTTTAAAATAGTAAATTTTGATAAAACTTAGTATTATAAAAGGGATTTGTGCTGTTTATTGTAATAAACAACGTGGAAAACAATAATATAAAATAACTTTAGTGCAGTTATTGTGTTAAAATACAGGGGTTTTTATTATATGTTATTACAGTATTGGTTCCAGGCCCCAATGTTAGTAGGAATAGAAAAAAATTGGAAAAGAAAAAAAAAAAAACAAAAAAAAACCGCAAATAATGTAATGCGCGTATGTGGAATTCGTCGATGTTGCCGCCACCACATCATTTTCGACAAACTTCTTGGCACTGTATCTCGGTAAGTACTGATCAGAATTTTTTTTTTTTTTCTTATTACCTTCACAAAAATATGCTCTTTAATTCTGTAAGAAATTTTTTTTTTTTTTTTTTTTTTTTCAAAATTTCTTGGACACTGGAGCACCACTTCAGATTTTGGCCTTGGACCCTGAAGGGGTTAAAAACTGGTAGGGATTTGAGGAAATGGAAGGAATGGATGAAATGGGCAAAAGGGACTACACAGTAGGAACAATCCAGTCTGAGGGCCATAAGGTGGTAATTGCGAAATGTCAACCCATCACAAAACTGCAGGGGGCCCCATGAAAAAAATATGAAGGGAACAAGCAATGGTGACACACACCCAAGGTGGCCAAAAGAGCTCACAGGGGGGGAGAGCAAAGTTCTAGTTATGGGTGATTTCAACCAAGGGGATTGACGGGAAAACCTGGGCCCATGGGGGTCCCGAAACATGGAGAGCCAAGAGATGGATGTGGGGATGGAAAACCTCATGCATTAAAAATGTTACACACATACAGAGAAGGCGAGAATGATCCAGCAAGATGGACTAGTATTTCCTTGAGTAGTTGGACATCGAGGACATCCGTACAAAAGGGGTCCTTGGAGCTAGTGATATGTGGTTCTGTGCTTTGATTTCTAGATGAGCTACAAGTGGGGAGGGTAACAGGAATGGACGGGTAAAAAAACTAAATACAAAAGGGGAACACTCACAGGCATGAGGGAAATTCCCGCAAAGACATTCAATGGGGGGGGAGAAAAGGCAGGGAAAAACCAGTAAAAAAAATGATGGACTATGTGACAAAAAAATGAAGGGGCAGAGGAGAATTTGTTCCCAAAAGGGAAGGAAAAAAATAGGAAAACCAGAACGAGTCCCGGTTCACCCCAAAAAAAGGAAAAAGGGGGGCAAAAAAATAAGTGCACTAGAGAATGAAGGAGTACAGAAGACAAAGGACCCAGGAAAGAAGAGATTAGCCAAAGAGCCAGAAAACGAAAATGCACAGATAAAAAAAGTGAGGCTCAGCACAATACAAAAAAAGACATAGCATGACAGTCAAGTCTGACCCAAACTGTTGTTAGCCAATCGGAGGAAAAAACAGTCAAGGTCCAAGTAACCAGGCTGAGGAAGGAAGGTGGGGAGTTCACAAGAAAGATAAGAGGTATGTGGGGGAGCTCAACTGAGATTTAAAAAAGTTTTTAAAGAGGTTGGTTGCAAAAACCTTTCGGGGAGGTACTTGTCCTCCCAAGTGAGGAAAAAAATGAAGTCTGTATTTTACATGATGGTGGGGTTTGCTGGTGTCTTTTTTCTGTTCATAAATATGAAAAAAATTTTGTAGTCTTGCATACTTACCTTAGATTCCCCTACACATACAAAAACACATTTATGTATACACATCATCTAAGTTTTCTTTGATTTTTTCTTAATAGTTCTTGTTCTTATTATTTTTTCCTTTATATCCATGGGGGAAATGGAATAAAAATCTTTCCCCCATAAGCATGTGTACTGTAAAAGCAACTAAAAAAGCCAGGAAAAAAAGGGTGTAGCCCCCTTTTCCCGTATGCCTACTAAAAAAAAAAAGGGGAGGTGGTGGAGCACCTAGAAAGAGACGAGCTTATAAAAAAAACCAGCAGGTTTAGGGAAAGGAAAAAACCTGTCACAAACCCATAGTTTTATGCAAAGGCAACAGAAATAAGACACGAGAGAGGGGGTGGATAGGGCTTCCTTTTTTGGACTGCAAGAAGGGCCCCTTTACACAGTTCCTCAAGAGGTTAAAGCAAAGCTAGAGGATCAGGCATGCATGACAGGAAAAGGGACGCAATGGTGAGAGAATATCTGACAGGGAGGCAAAAAACAAGTCAGGGTTTACGGAGGGGTGTGAGAGTGGGCCCCCTGAGATGAGTGGGGTTCCACGGGGGTCAGTCCTGGGAAACCTGTGCTGCTTGGTATATGTGAAGACATAACAGGAGGATAGACTCAAAAGGCCCTTGTTTGAGATGATGTGAAGTTAATGAGGAAAAATTAAATCAAAGAAAATCAGGCGGGGACTAAAAAAAAGACCTGGACGGCACAAGCCTGGTCCAGAAATGGCCCCTTTAAATTTTAAACCCCCGCCAAATGCAAAGTCTGAAGATTGGGGAAGGGCAAAAAGATTGCAGATAGAGTATAGTCTGGGTGGTAAACACTGCAAATTCACTCAAGGAAAAAGATTTAGAGTTGATAATACCGAGACATTCCTGAGGCGCAAACAGCCAGAAAAACTGCTACAGATACAGGGTCGGGCAAACCTAAAATAGCATTAAATTCCCTCAGTAAGAATGTTAAAGACTCTGTACCCATATATGTCAGGCCCAAAAGGGGGGGAATGCGCACCATTTTTGGGAATCCCACCTAGTCAACCCAATCAGTAAAGTACAGAAAGTAAAAAAAGGGTTTGAAACAAGACTAGTCCCAGAGTAAGGGGTTGTCCTTCGAAGAAAGGTTAAAAGGAAAATCGGCCTGACAAACTGGAAGACAGGAGGGTGGGGGGGAGAATGATAAAAGACATATAAATATGCGAATTTACAAAATGGAAAAGACAGGAGTTCCCGAGATGGGTCACAGAAACAAGGGGTCACAATGGAAGTTGAAAAACCCGATGGTCAAAGGGATGTTAGGAAGTATTTTTCAGTCACGTAGTCGGAATGGGAAAAGCTAGAAAGTGATGTGTGGAGGAGAAAAAAACCTCTGATTGTATCTCTACCCCTTTATACTCAGTCAGGATCAACTGAATGTCGTTTTTCCCCAGTACCGACAGATATTGAGAAATCCTCAAGTATCATTTTGTTACTTCCAATTCAGATTTGCCTAAAAATACAGATGGTTAGCCGTGCAAAAAGGTTTGCCTCCCCGAGATGACACCCATTTGCATATATCAATCCCCCTGCGAGTTGGGGTTTAAATGTAAATAAACCGTTAGATGAAAAATTCAGTATCAACTTTAGTATTCAATAATTTTTTTTTTGTGTTCACGTTCTTCGAATTTGAGGTTAACAGTCTAGATTTGGTGCACCGAATCTGCCTTTCTGTTAAACACTTTTTTCTTTGTATTATTCCTTCCTCAGAATCCGTAGATCACATGAATACAGATCGATCGATCAAAATTTTTTTTTTATCACTTCTACTGTGTAATTCCAACGTTGAGTTTCATTCGATGAGTTGTGCTGTATCATACCTTGTATTGCGTTACAGTTTCATTACAGTTTCAGTTACGTAAGCTTCCATTCCAATATTCTACTTATGTATGTTATAATGTTCAATTGTCGTGTACTTTGACATTGTATAGAATCAGCCCAAGCCGTACACCTGCCGTCTCTAGTTTGTAGTAGCTGTATGTTGGGATGACATACGTTAGCATTGCCGAGCTCTCAGTAGTAGTACCAGTTCCTAGTAATCAGTTACCAGTAACCAGTGTACCAGTAGATGACTCACTACCAACCGTCTGTGTGAATCATTGACTGTATTCATATTGCTGCTGACCATAGCAGGATTTCAAACACCCTCACCCTGTAGAGACTTGTGAGTCAGTCGTAGTTAGGCAGCAGAGAGAGAGAGAGGTCAGCTGTTGGCGCTTTCCATACTTCCCATTATATATTATACGTACTACCAGCCTACGTGAGTATTTTTACCCATCCACGTATCGAAAACCCACATGACAAAGAGGCGGGGCCAGGAGCTATGACTTGACCCCTGCAACCACAACTAGGTGAGTACACACACCCACACACACACCCACATGCACACACCCACACTCCCACACACACACCCACACACACACCCACACATACACACACCCACACATACACACACACCCACACATACACACACCCACACACACCCCCCCCACCCACACCACCCCCCACACACACACACATACACCCACCCACACCCCACACACACACACCCACCCACCCCCAACACACCCACCCACCCCCCTGGTGTACAAACTCTTCCTCAACACATTCAGTATACTGGTGTATACCAATTTTTTTTCATCATCATGCTGGCCATCTCCCACTGAGGCAGGGTGACCCCAAAAAGAGAGAAACACTCTCACCATCATTCACACATAATTACTGTCTTTGCAGTGGCATGCAGATATAACAGTTTAGATGCCACTCCAAAGAGCAAATATCTCAAACCCCTCCTTTAAAGTACAGGCATTGTGCTTCCCACCTCTAGGCTAACCAATTTCCCTGAATCCCTCCACAAAATATTACCCTGTTCACACTCCAACAGTTCATCAAGTCCCAAAAACCATTCATCTCCATTCATTCCTATCTAATATACTCACTGTATGTCCAAACCCCATGTACACAAAACCTCTTTTACGCCCTCCCTCCATTCTTTCCTAGATAAGATACTTTATTTCAGCATAATACAATGTTTGTACAAAGGTGAATGACATTTAGGTGTGCATGCAGAAAGCCCCTCAATATGCAGAGCATTTCAGGCTAACTTCAGATTAACAAGACAATGACAATTTGAGTGGTTTTATACACAGTCTTTTTGGTGTGCAAATATAAATCTAGGAGTTACGATCCCTACCCCTCCTCCCCTCCACTACAGATTTATACACCCTCCAAGACATCCTATTTAGCTCCACCCTCTCTAAATTACCAAACCACCTCAACAGCCCCTCCTCAGCCATCTGAATAATACTTTGAGTAACTCCACATCTCCTCCTAATTTCCACACTCCGAATTCTCTGCATAATATTTACACCACACATTGCCCTTAGATCATCTCCACTGCCTCCAGCCTCCTCCCCACTGCAGCATTTACAACCCATGCTTCACACCCATATAAGAGTGTTGGTACCACTATACTCTCATACATTCCCTTGTTTGCCTCCATGATGATGTTTTTTTTGTCTCCACAGATACCTCAATGCACCACCCAACTTTTTTCTTTCATCAATTCAATGGCTTACCTCATCCTCAAACCCATTTGCAGACAAGTCTATTCCCAAATATCTGAACACATTCACTTCTTTCATATTCCTTCCCACCAATGTGATATCCAATTTTTCTTTACCTAACTTGTTTGATACCCTCATCACCTTACTCTTATCTATGTTCACTTTCAACTTCTACCTTACACACTCTCCCAAACTCATCCACTAACCTTTATAACTTCTCTTTAGACTCTCTCTAAAGTATACTGTCAACAAAAATAACAGTCGTAAGAATGTACTCTTACCGGGTCATCAGGATGTTCGGTAGATTGATTACATACAATCCAAGTGTCATGAGCATTTCCATTGGCTGGATCTGTGGAGGGTATCTGTCTTATGTGTGACCAAAAGAGAGCATCACGCTGGGCTGTTGGCCATACTCTTTTGTGTAATTGCAGGAAAATAAGAGTATCATCTGATATTCTGTCCAAGACAGTCATTTGTTCAATACTTGCTGAAATGTAGAGGAATAATTGCAAACACAGTAATTAAAATATCAAAAAATGAAAATATTCTACTTACAAAAAAAAATATTTAACAAAAATATATTAAATATTATGCTATGCTAATGATGACTTAATTTATAATTTTTTTTTTTAACAAGTCGGCCGTCTCCCACCGAGGCAGGGTGACCCAAAAAGAAAGAAAATCCCGAGAAAGAAAATACTTCCATCATCATTCAACACTTTCACCTCACTCACACATAATCACTGTTTTTGCAGAGGTGCTCAGAATACAACAGTTTAGAAGTATATATGTATAAAGATACACAACATATCCCTCCAAACTGCCAATACCCTTCATAAATATCAATTTATTAATGTACATTCACAAATGTCAAATTAACCATGTAACATTTTCTAACCTTGGAGAAATTTTCTAACAAAATTTCAAAGATATCCTGAGAAGAAATATGAAACCAATATGAATTTTCTCATCTTTAGAAGATCAATTAAAATAAAACAACAAATTACACAATATTTAATATGCTTTGATATGTATCAAATTTAGGGTTTGAAAAAGGTTAGTGTAATTCAATACAAGATCATGCATATAAAGTCACTCAGTGTTGCGGTTACCTATGGTTGATATACGTAGTTAAAATGTAATCTTGCATAAGGTCTTATAAAAAGTTACTGATTATGTAATTGTACCAGAATTTTGACTCTGAAGTGGGTCAGATGCCAAGGCTAAATTTTTTTTTAACACGTCAGCCGTTTCCCACCGAGGCAGGGTGACCCAAAGAGAAAGAAAAAAAACCATCATCATCATTCAACACTTTCACCATCACTCATACATAATCACTGTCTTTGCAGAGGCGCTCAGATACGACAGCTTAGATCTCCCTCCAAATTGCCAATATCCCAAATCCCCTCTTTAAAGTGAATGCATTGTACTTCCTATTTCCAGGACTTAAGTCTGGCCTAATATGTGGTTGTACAGATACAGTTAATACATGAAACTGAGGGCTGAAGAGCTGGTGTTGAAGTGGTTTAGGTATGTTAGAGAGGATGGATGAAAATAGGATGACTAGGAGGGTACAGTAGAGCCCCGCTTTACGGTGTTTCACCTGATGGCGTTCCACTAATATGGCGATTTCAAATGACCAAAACTTGTTATACGGCTCCCCGTGTTTTTAATATGGCGTGCTCCACCCAGTTTGTTTACATTCTCCGTGAGCACACTTCTCTATTATGTCTGGAAACTTGCCAAAATTTCAAGTGTTTTAAAGTTACTGCATATTTTATATGAACTCTGATAATTATACTCATGTGTACCTGTACCTAAATATACTTACACACTGTGCTGGCATGCAGGTACACACTGTGCTGGCATGCAGGTACACACTGTGCTGGCATGCAGGTACACATTAAAATCACTAAGACTCTCTCTACTCTTGAAGATGCCATAATAATAATCTCTTGGGTACATTGTATTTCATATATTACATTAATATAAACATTTCCATTAATCTAGCTATGATATTTTTTTCAAAATTGTATAAAAAACACACTACATAACATATAAACATGATACATACACCCACAGTATAAAAATTAACAAATATGAGATGTGTTTACCAAACGGTTTGCAGGAGTGACAGAAGAATTACGTTTTCTCTAGTCAAACACAAGTTACTGGGGCAGAACAGTAGAAAAATATTCCTTTCATATGCCTTCACTCTATCTATAGCTATTCGCAACCCTTGTGGGTTTGTGATGTAGTGCTTGAGAAGTCACTAAGGGAGACCTAACTTCAGTAAATTGTCACACACCTTGCCTTGGCAAATAGCTGTCAGACACACCTTTTGGCTTAACCCTTTGACTATTTCAGTCGTTTTTATGAGGATAGTGAGGCTCAGGTTAGGGTGTGTAGAAGAGAGGGAGACTACTTCCCGGTAAAAGTAGGTCTTAGACAGGGATGTGTAATGTCACCATGGTTGTTTAATATATATATAGATGGGGTTGTAAAGGAAGTAAATGCTAGGGTGTTTGGGAGAGGGGTGGGATTAAATTATGGGGAATCAAATTCAAAATGGGAATTGACACAGTTACTTTTTTACCTCTAACTTGCATCTTTCAGCACTGCCTAGTACAGTGTAAATGGCCCTCTCTGTGGAAAGAGGCAAATGTAGTCCCTGTTCACAAAAATAAGAGCAGAGCAGAAATCAGCAACTACAGACCAGTGTCATTCCTGTCAATCACTGGTAAGATCCTCGAGACAATCTCAAGACAAATGACAGAGGTTTTTTGACCACCACTCACTACTTGTGACCATCAATATTGCTTCAGGAAAGGTTACTCTGCTGCTAATCTGTTGTTAAACCTCTCCAGTAAGTGGCACCAGTCACTGGATGAATCCAAAGTCAGCTGTGTGGTAGCACTGGACATTGCTGGTGCTTTTGACCGGGTGTGGCACCAGGGCCTCTCAGCAAAACTTCAAGCACTGGGAATTGCAGTCTCTACACTATGTCTCCTCAGTGATATTACCTTCATGGTAGATCTCTAAGGGTAGTTCTCAATGGAACGGAATCAGCAAGACATCCTATTGGGGCATGTGTTCCACAAGGAAGCATGCTGGGACCATTGTTATGGAATGTCTACTTCAATGACCTCCTTCATCTCATCCCAGAATCCCATGCATATGCAGACAACTGTACACTGACATTCACTTATCCAAGAGAAGAAATGCCAGCTGCTCTAAGCTACATCAATCACCAGCTGAGAGCTATATCAGCTTGGGGAAATAGATGGCAAGTAACATTTGCACCTGAGAAAATGCAAATGGTGGTGGTCTCTAGGCACCATGATGGTAATGTTGGTGCAGTAGTAAGGATGAATGGGAGGGTGTTGGCACCTGGAGAAGTTGATATCCTTGGGGTGAAATTTGACTCCAAACTGACCATGAAGAACCATGTTGTAAATCTAGCAACAAAGGCAGCCAGGAAGCTTACAGCACTTTGCCGTATCTCGCATCTGCTTGACAGTAGGGGTTGCAAGATTCTGTATGAGGCACAAGTATGCTCACACCTTGAGTATGCTCCACTTTCTTGGTTTGCCTGCCCCCCCCCCCCCTCTCATCTGCGACTGCTTGACAGAGTAAAGAACAGAGCAAGACGTCTCATCTCTTGCCTAGACCAATCCTGGATAGATCTGTCATTTCAGCACAGCCTTCAACACAGGAGGGATGTGGGTGGCCTTACTGTCATGTACATGGCCAATATTGCCAAAGTACCACACTTGGATCCACTTCGAGGACAGCGTGAAACAAGCTTTTATGCCACAAGACGGGCAGAAAGCAGCAACTTCACTCTGGCTGTACCCTTCTCCAGAACATCACTCCATCTGAGATCATATATACCCAGGATGACTCGAGTATGAAACACATTCGTACACATGATGTCAATGAGATGAAGTCAGCTGATCAAATGAAAATGCTGGCCCACAGATGGCTCCAACTTCATCCTGTTCCCTACTTGTACGTCTCATAACAATAAAAATGCTTTCAAATGAGCTGATGTAGGTAACAGCTCTTAGCTTGCCAATAAAGTTAGGAATCCTTAACCTGTAAATAGCTTGTCAACAAAGCTAGGGATCCTTAACCTTGTCAAACCCTGTGTACAAAAAGAGAGACAGACAGACAGAGACAGACAGACAGATCGATAAGACAAAATATGTTCTGGTGGGAAGGTATATGATATGATTAATGCACTATTAGGATTAAGTTAATAAGAGTGATGCCAGCTTTTAATGGATGAATAGTTTACACATTCCACCTATACTGTTCAATAGTAATGGGTACAAGATTTCACAAGAGTAGCTCTTCCCTCTTCATAAAACATCCAAGGATCAATAAGGTTTGACAGCGTCCAAGAAAATATACTGTATATGTACTCTGTCATGACAAAGTCTGAACATGTTCATTGTTAATAATAAAGATTGATGGTTTTCAATTATCTTTGCCTTGCCTTTCCTTGCCTTTTTTTTTTTTGTATTATCCATAGGCCATTTCCCACCAAGGTAAGGTGACAAAATATATATAGAGTGGGTAGGGGATGTGTAGATAAAGTGTTTACATTGAAGCATATATATTTTTTTTTTCAACAAGTCGGCCGTCTCCCACCAAGGCAGGGTGACCCAAAGAGAAAGAAAATCCCCAAAGAGAAAGAAAATCCCCAAAGAGAAAATACTATCATCATTCAATACTTTCACCTCACTCACACAATCACTGTTTTTGCAGAGGTGCCCAGAATACAACAGCTTAGAAGTCTTCTTCTTTCAACACACCGGCCGTATCCCACCAAGGTGGGGTGGCCCAAAAGGAAAAACGAAAGTTTCTCCTTTTACACTTAGTAATATATACAGAAGTGGTTACTAGCCCCTTGCTCCCGGCATTTTAGTCGCCTCTTACAACATACATGTCTTACGGAGGAAGAATTCTGTTCCACTTCCCCATGGAGGTAAAAGGAAATAAACAAGAACAAGAACTAGTAAGAAAAATGGAAGAAAACCCAGAGGGGTGTGTATATACATATATGCTTGTACATGTATGTGTAGTGTGACCTAAGTGTAAGTAGAAGTAGCAAGACGTACCTGAAACCTTGCATGTTTATGAGACAGAAAAATGGACAGCAGCAATCCTACCATCATGTAAAACAATTACAGGTTTCCGTTTTACACTCACTTGGCAGGACGGTAGTACCTCCCTGGGCGGTTGCTGTTTACCAACCTACTACCTAGGCAGCTTAGAAGTATATACATATAAAAATACACAATATATCTCTCCAAACTGCCAATATCCCAAACCCCTCCTTTAAAGTGCAGGCATTGTACTTCCCATTTCCAGGACTCAAGTCTGGTTATATAAAATAACCGGTTTCCCTGAATCCCTTCACTTAATATTACCCTGCTCACACTCCAACAGATCATCAGGTCCCAAATACCATTTGTCTACATTCACTCCTATCTAACACGCTCACACACGCTTGCTGGAAGTCCAAACCCATCGCCCACAACACCTCCTTTACCCCCTCCCTCCAACCTTTTCGAGGACGACCACTACCCCGCCTTCCTTCCCCTATAAATTTATACGCTCTCCATGTTTTTATTGCATTTATGGATTTAGAAAAGGCATATGTTGTGTATCTTTATATGTATATGCTTCTAAACTGTTGTGTTCTGAGCACCTTTGCAAAAACAGTGATTATGTGCGAGTGAGGTGAAAGTGTTGAATGATGATGATAAAAGTATTTTCTTTTTGGGGATTTTCTTTCCTTTTGGGTCACCCTGCCTCGGTGGGAGACAGCCGACTTGTTAAAAAAAAAAAATGATAGTGTGGATAGGGAAGCAATGTGGCAGATGTTACAAGTATATGAAATAGGTGGTAAGTTACTAAATGCTGTAAAGAGTTTGTATGAGGATAGTGAGGCTCAGGTTAGTGTAGAAGAGAGGGAGACTACTTCCCGGTAAAAGTAGGTCTTAGACAGGGATTTGTAATGTCACCATGGTTGTTAAATATATTTATAGATGGGGTTGTAAAAGAAGTAAATGCTAGGGTGTTCAGGAGAGGGGTGGGATTAAATTATGAGGAATTAAATACAAAATGGGAAGTGACACAGTTACTTTTTGCTGATGATACTGTGCTTATGGTGTGTGTAAAGGTAGAAAGTTGAAAGTGAACATAAAAAAGACTAAGGTGATGAGAGTATCAAATGATTTAGATAAAGAAAAATTGGATATCAAATTGGGAAGGAGGAGTATGGAAGAAGTGAATGTTTTCAGCTATTTGGGAGTTGACGTGTCAGCAGATGGATTTATGAAGGATGAGGTTAATCATAGAATTGATGAAGGAAAAAAGGCGAGTGGTGCATTGAGGTATATGTGAAGGCAAAAAATGTTATCTCTGGAGGCAAAGAATGGAATGTATGAAAGTACAGTAGAACCAACACTCTTATATGGGTGTGAAGCTTGGGTTGTAAATGCTGCAGCGAGGAGGTGGTTGGAAGCAGTGGAGATGTCCTGTCTAAGGGCAATGTGTGGTGTAAATATTATGCAGAAAATTCAGAGTGTGGAAATTAGGAGACGGTGTGGAGTTAATAAAAGTATTAATCAGAGGGCTGAAGAGGGGTTGTTGAGGTGGTTTGGTCATTTAGAGAGAATGGATCAAAGTAGAATGGCTTGGAGAGCGTATAGATCTGTAGGGGAAGGAAGGCAGGGTAGGGGTCGTCCTAGAAAAGATTGAAGGGAGGGGGTAAAGGAGGTTTTGTGGGCGAGGGGCTTGGACTTCCAGCAAGCATGTGTGAGTGTGTTAGATAAGAGTGATTGGAGAAGAATGGTTTTTGGGACCTGATGAGCTGTTGGAGTGTGAGCAGGGTAATATTTAGTTAAGGGATTCAGGGAAACCGGTTATTTTTATATAGCCGGACTTGAGTACTGAAAATGGGAAGTACAATGCCTGCACTTTAAAAAGAGGGGTTTGGGATATTGGCAGTTTGGATGGGTATGTTATATATCTTTATGTATGCTTCTAAACTGTTGTATCTGGGCACCTCTGCAAAGACAGTGACTGTGTGTGAGTGAGGTGAAAGTGTTGAATGATGATGAGAGTATTTTCTTTTTGGGGATTTTCTTTCTTTTTGGGTCACCGTGCCTCGGTGGGAGATGGCTGACTTGAGAAAAAAAAAAAAACTACCACATACATTACCAGGTATACTCAACAGACTTAGCTTGTAAAATTAATTTGTGTAAAGAAAAAAAAGAGTAAGGGGATAAAGGAGTATTAAAACAATATCCTTGTGAAAGGAGCTTTGTCAATCATTAATACTTACTGTCCCATTCAAATCTAACATCAGGTGACCAAAAGTGATGAGCCATCTCATGTGCTGTAGCTCCTCGTACCTGATGCACAGCTTTCAATGGATCAACAACCAGCCCATCTTCTTCTAATTCACGCCGATACATTTTCATTTCTCCCTCTTCTGCAAAGATTTGCCATATGCCACCCTCCACACCTTGTTGTGCATAACCCAGTTGCTCCAGTGTTAGTTTTTCTATCTGAGGAAGTAAAAATTAAAATTATTTTTCTCATAATTATGCCAAGTTATGCCATTTCCTAACACAGAATAATCAGAACATTTCATTATCACTGAAATGAAATCCACAGTACAAGTTCGAGAATTATTTCAAACACAGACGAAACATTTTTTTTTTGTTTTTGTTGTTAATACGTTGGCTGCTTCCCACCAAGGGAGGGTGACCCCAAAAAAAAAGAAAAACTTTCATCATCCAACACTTTCACCATCACTCATACATAATCAGTCTTTACAGAGGCGCTCAGATACGACAGTTTAGAAGTCCCTCCAAACTGCCAATATCCCAAACCCTTCCTTTAAGTGCAGGCACTCAACTTCCCATTTCCAGGACTCAAGTCTGGCTAACTGGTTTCCCTGAATCCCTTCACAAAATATTACCCTGCTCACACTCCAACAGCTCCATTCACTCCTATCTAACATACTTACACACGCTTGCTGGAAGCCTGAGCCCCTTGCCCACAAAACCTCCTTTACCCCCTCCCTCCAACCTTTCCAAGGATGACACCTACCCCACCTTCCTTCCCATACAGATTTATATGCTCTCACAACCATTCTCACAACCTCAACAACCCCTCTTCAGCCCCCTGACTAATATGTTTATTACCTCCACACAGGCCTAGGTAAGGTTGGAGGGAGGGGGTAAAGGAGGTTTTGTGTGCGAGGGGCTTGGACTTCCAGCAGGCATGAGTGAGCATGTTTGATAGGAGTGAATGGAGACAAATGGTTTTTAATACTTGATGTGCTGTTGGAGTGTGAGCAAAGTAACATTTATGAAGGGGTTCAGGGAAACCGGCAGGCCGGACTTGAGTCCTGGAGATGGGAAGTACAGTGCCTGCACTCTGAAGGAGGGGTGTTAATGTTGCAGTTTAAAAACTGTAGTGTAAAGCACCCTTCTGGCAAGACAGTGATGGAGTGAATGATGGTGAAAGTTTTTCTTTTTCGGGCCACCCTGCCTTGGTGGGAATCGGCCAATGTGATAATAAAAAAAAATACCTCCACACCTCCTAATTTCCACACTACAAATTCTCTGCATAATATTTACACCACACATTGCCCCTAGACAAGACATCTCCACTGCCTCCTGCCTCCTCCTCACTACACCATTTACAATCCATGCTTCACATCCATATAAGAGTGTTGGTACCACTATACTCTTGTACATTTCCTTCTTTGACTCCATGGATAACATTTTTTGTCTCCACAGGTACCTTAACGCATCACTCAATTTTTTTCCTTCATCAATTGTATGGTTAACCTCATCCTTCAAAAAACCATCCAGTGACAAATCAACTCCCAAATATTTGAAAACATTCACTTCTTCCATACTCCCTCCCTCCAATGTGATATCCAGTTTTTCTATATCCAAATTGTTTGATACCCTCACCACTGTACTCTTCAAGGTTCAATGTGTTGGACATTCAGGGATACTCTTCTGAATACCACTGTTTTAACATATGATTATTTAAGTTACTGTCATTTTCCTGACAGCTTGAACAAGTCTGGCCATTTTCCTCTGACCTTTCTCATTATCAAATATTTTCTTCCCACAGAATTGCCACTCACCAACTGGCACAAACAATCATTCCATGGTCAAAGTCATTTAAATTATATTTCTTCCCCATTCCGATGTTCAATCTGAACCACAACTGAACCTCCTGACCATGTCTGCATGCTTTTAGTTATTGAAGTGCTGCCACACGTGTGGCCAATTAGATACAGTGAACCCCCAACCAACGAAAGCATCGTCTAACGAAAAATTCGCCTAACGAAGCATTTGAGCATAAAAATTTCGGCCCAACCAATGAAGAAAAATTTGACCAACAACATTCGTCCCGAACCTGTCCATCCAGCCTGAGTGCCTCAGCTGCCCTCCCATCAGCTAGTGTGCCATTGTTTACAAGCAAGGGCAGATGGTTCCACACATACATTCGATACATTTTGCTTTACATATTCCACTGTTTTTAGTGCTTGTAACTGCTAAATAAGCCACCATGGGCCCAAAGAAAGCTTCTAGTGCCAACCCTGTGGTAAAAAGGGTGAGAAATACTATCGTACTATGGTCAGCTGCTGCTGCTGCACCACGGTCAGCTGCTGCTGCACCACGGGCGCCGCCGCCGCTGCTGCTGCTGTTGTACCATGGTCAGCTGTACTACTCGAAGATGTGGAGAGACTGTTGTTGGTGTGGCTTAATGAGAAACAATTACCGAGAAACAATTCACACCATTGGGTTAGCCACCCAGGATAACCCAAGAAAGTCAGTGCGTCATCAAAGACTGTCTAACTTACTTCCATTGGGGTCCTTAATCTTGTCCCCCAGGATGCGACCCACACCAGTCGACTAACACCCAGGTGAACATGAAAAAATGCCTGGAACTAGTGCTCATATTGGTGAATTTAGGGCCAGCAAAGATTGGTTTGAGAGATTTAAGAATCGTAGTGGCATATACAGTGTGATAAGGCATGGTGAAGCTGAAAAATTCTAATTCCCCTTTCAAAAATTAATACACCTCCATCTCCCCTCCTCCCATCTCATCACTCATCACTACATCTTCAATAAAGATAAGTGTCATTTAGTCTTCATTTAGTACAGTACAGTATTTACTGTGCATGTATCCTTTTTCTGTGTAGGAAAATGTATATTTCATGTGAAAAAAAAATTTCATACTTTTGGGTGTCTGGAATGGATTAACTGGATTTCCATTATTTCTCATGGGGAAAATTAATTCGACTAACGATAAATTCAACTAACAATAAATTTGACTAACGATATATTCGACTAACGATAAATTCGACTAACGACAAGCTCTCTGGAACGGATTAATATCATTGGTCGAGGGTCCACTGTATTTGAATTAACAAGGTGTACAGGTGTACCTAAAAAAGTGGCCAATGAATGTATAGTGCCTGCAAAATGTCAATTATCTATCTTGGTTAATAATCCCAATAAAATTTAAGTACAGTGTCTAATGTTTACAAATGAAGTAACACAGTATTACTACTACACCATCATCATATAAAAACACTAAACTCATAGGGGTCATAATGCACCTGGGAAAGGAAAGCAATCATGTTTAATCTAAGAAAAGGAAGGATAACTAATTCCTTGGACCAAGAGCCCTTCACTGTCATCAAGGTACTCTTAAAGGGTACAGTATTATGAAAAGGCAAGAAATCTAATGAAATCATACATTCTTAAAAAAGTCTCCCTCAGAATGAATGAAAATGGGAATGCAAATGTACATTACAACATATTATTCCAAACTGAAATATGCACAATATTAATCAATAATCATTTTCCAGCATGTAGCTGTTAAGCAACCTTTCAAACATATGGTAAACAAGACAAATGCAGCTTTCAGGTACAGTAAACATTCAGTTTAGTGGACTAATTGGGAAAGAGTGGGTGGCTGGAAATGGTGACTGCAATAAGAGAGGAACTGTTTAGCTATGATCAAGCCAATAATGGATACTGGTAATTTTGTATCAATGAACTTTAATCATTGTTCTTGAATCAAATGACAAAGAGGACTCTCTTCCATTGTTCCAAAGTACATTAAATTGAGGTCCTTTAAACTTAGAGTTTACTGTATTTTTTGAAATCTTATCCCATACAAAATTAGTATTTTACTTGAGGCCAGAGAGGATGAGTAGCTGCAGGCTTCTGAGGAGCTGCCAACTGTTTTAGTCGTAAACGTTCCCTGAACTCCTCCTCTTCATCCATTTTGTCCAGAGCAGACTCGACAGCATCATAGAATTCATCCTCTCCTATCACGCTATGTGGTCCTTCCTACAACAATAATAATAATAAGAATGACAATAAGCATTCACATGCTACTTTGCTTAGAATAATTATTCATGATCAAGTTAGAGTGTGGGAGGGCCCCAATTATATGGTGGGTTACGGTCTAGGATACTGCCGTAAAGTGAATAGCCTTTTTTTTTTTCACTTTTAAATATTTAAATATTTACACTATCATATATTAAGTGTGAAATAGAGATAGGCCTAAAAAATTATATGAAAGTAAAATGACTGTACAGTATACACATTAATTACCTTAACCCTTTGACTGTCGCAACCCCCAATCCTGAGGTGTCTCCTGGTGTCGCAAAATTTAAAAAAAAAAAATTATTTTTTCTTATGAAATGATAGAGAATCTTTTCCCGATTGTAATGACACCAAAAAAAAACGAAATTTGATGGAAAACTGACGGAATTATGCTCTCGCGAAGTTAGCGACCTCGGCGCTGTTTACAAATCGGCGATTTCGCCCACTTTGAGCCCTATTTTCGGCTAATTCCATTGTTCCAGTCGCCCAAACTCATAGCTATTTCTTTAGAACTTCATTTTTTCTATCGATTGAGTACAAGAAACTGCCCATTTACTGATTTCAACTACCTAATAATGTGGTCAGAAATTTGCAATTTGGCCAATTTCACGAAAACTAAAAAATATGACAATTTCAAAATAAGGTCCAGAATGAACAATGCAGACATTCCAGGCTCTAAAATAACGTTTTCTTTGTTCATCAGTCACGTCTCCAGGCCCCTCTGATATTACTCTTGCTTTCTATTTTGAATTTTTATTCAAACAAAAAATATTAGACTTACTATTATGCAGACTACTGCAATGCTGTAATAACTGTATAAATAGCATCAACCCATTCATGACTGCATATTAGAATGGCTAGTTGGACATTTATTGGACAATGGCATCATTTGTTTACTTTTGAACATTGGCAAAAATCAAACATTTCCCCTACTTTGAGCTCCATTTCTAGGTTCTTTTTATAGTAAAATCAATCAAAAACACCTCTATTTCTGTAATATGTTTTCCATTCTATCAAATGAGACCAAGAAAACGAGAATACAACCATAAATACTATACGAAAATAGACCACAAAGTCGGCATTTTAATTAAAAAAAACGGTCAGAGTTTTTTTTTTCTCATTATGCACTGCGTGCTCCAGAATTTTTTTTATATGGTGCACACTGACCACACAGACCCATTCTCTCACATGTGGGCCTACCAGCTTTCTGCTGCTTGATTTGAAGCCGCTAGAATTTATGAGTATATATACGTCAAACACGGCACCTCGTAAAACGTATATATACGGCCGCGACAGTCAAAGGGTTAAAATATTTTTGTCCTCAACTTGAACACTGAGTGGTGAATTTAAAACTTTGAAAAATTGCCAGAATACAGAGAAAGAGCACACAAATTCTGTAAACAAACTGAATCCCTGACAACACAGCCTGGCTCATGACAACTGTTATGCAGGCTACTGCATTAATGTGAAGATATTTTGTATATAATGTAAGGTGTATTGTGAGGATAATACTCCATATTGTATATATTATGTCAGTGTTTTGGGTGGACAAGTAATGAGACAGTCAGATGATGGTCAGACACACACATTAAATGGCCAGATGACATGTATCATGCCCAACTTGGAGTGCCTAGTCCCAAGCTCATAGCAACACAACCAGGCTCACGGCAACACAACCAGGCTCACAGCAACACAACCAGGCTCACAGAAATACAACCAGGCTCACGGAAACACAACCAGGCTCACGGAAACACAACCAGGCTCACGGAAACACAACCAGGCTCATGGCAATACACCCAGGCTCACGGCAACACACCCAGGCTCATGGCAACACACCCAGGCTCATGGCAACACACCCAGGCTCACGGCAACACACCCAGGCTCACGACAACACACCCAGGCTCACGGAAACACACCCAGGCTCACGGCAACACACCCAGGCTCACAGCAACACACCCAGGCTCACGGCAACACACCCAGGCTCACGGCAACACACCCAGGCTCACGGCAACACACCCAGGCTCACGGCAACACACCGAGTAACTCCAAGTTGATCGTCTAAATTGTTTAATACGTGTCCATATAAATACAGTGGACCCCTGGCATCCGATGGCATCGGTATACATTAAATCCGGTATTCGATACATTTAAACGCAAAATTTTTGCCTCGCCACTCATTAAAAAACCCGCCACACGCGATTCGTCCGGGACACATCCACATGTGGCCTGAACTGCCCCATGCGTGCCAGTGTTTACAAGCCAGCCAGTGTGCTCGCATTGAAGCATACATTCGGAACATTCCATATTATCACTGTTTTTGGTGCTTGTTTCTGCAAAATAAGTCACCATGGGCCCCAAGAAAGCTTCTAGTGCCAACCCTGTGGTAAAAAGGGTGAGAATTAGTATGGAAATTAAGAAAGATTTTGAAGGGTTTGGGGCTAACCCTGAGAAGCCTATGCCAGTTGTGGAATCCATTGTGCCTACTTCAAAAATTAAGGAAATGTGTGCACAGTGGGTTGAACTGCAAACCTTTATGGATGAAAATCACCCTAACACAGCTATTGCAAGCCGTGCTGGTGACTATTACAATGACAATGTTATGGCCCATTTTAGACAAATCTTAAAGGAACAGGAGGTACAGACCTCTATGGACAGATTTGTTGTGCAACAGGGGTCCAGTGACTCTCAAGCTGGTCCTAGTCGCATTAAAAGAAGGGAAGTAACCCCAGAAAAGGACTTGCTACCTCAAGTCCTAATGGAAGGGGATTCCCCTTCTAAACATTAACAACTTCGACACTCTCCCCTCCTCCCATCCCATCAATCATCACCAGATCTTCATTAAAGGTAAGTGTCATGTATTCTATTGTTAGTAGAGTACTACAAACTGTGCATGTCTTCTTCAATTTGTGTGTATTAAACTTAATATTTTATGTGGTAAAAAAAAAATTTTCATACTTTTGGGTGTCTTGCACGGATCAATTTGATTTCCATTATTTCTTATGGGGAAAATTAATTCGCCTTCCAATAATTTTGGCATACGACGAGCTCTCAGGAAGGAATTAATATCGTTTACTGGGGGTCCACTGTATCTATTACATGGTATGTAGCATGTTTATATAATTTTCCAAAATGTGTTATAGATGGATTTTGGAAAATGTCTATGATAACGTAACATTTCTTGTTTCAACAAACCAAGGCAGGGTGTCCCAAAAGGAAAAACAAAAGTTTCTCCTTTTAAATTTAGTAATATATACAGAGGGAGGGGTTAATAGCCCTTTGCTCCTGGCATTTTAGTCGCCTCTTATGACATGCATGGCTCATGGAGGAAGAACTCTGTTCCACTTCCCCCATGGAGATAAGAGGAAATAAACAAGAACAAGAACTAGTATGGAAATAGAAGAAACCCCAGAGGGGTGTGTATGTATATGCTTGTCTATGCTTGTGCAGTGTGACCTAAGTGTAAGTAGAAGTAGCAAGACATACCTGAAATCTTGCATGTTTGTGAGACAGAAAAAAGATACCAGCAATCCTACCATCATGTAGAGCAATTACAGGCTTCCATTTCCCACTCACTTGGCAGAACGGTAGTACCTCCCTGGGCGTTGCTGTCTACCAACCTACTACCTAGGGATAGCATAACTATGACATTTTCAGTATCCCAGAGTGACATTCTTCCTGCGTTATTCCATCTTCAACACAATGAGACACTCTTATTTACTCCCTTACCTGGCTTAGCTCCTACTTTTTAACTTGGCACTGATGACTCCTCTTTTTATTGCAACTACCTTTAGATGCCATTGTAACAAAAATAGTATAATATATGTAATAACTTTAAAACACTTGAAACTTTGGAAAGTTTCCAGACAAAATCGAGAGATGCAGAGTTCATACAGCATACAGAGAAAGAGTGGCACATGGATGCCGTAATAGCATATCAGGAGCATAAACAAATTTTGGGGTATAATTTGAAATGTCTGTACGTATTAGTAAGGTACCATAAAGCGGGGCCCTCCTGTACATAATTTATGGTTCTAATGCTGATGCTTTAGCAGGATTAATAATAATAGTTAAAAAAATTACCATTTCATTCTTAGCTTACAAGTTATTATAGTTTACTGTGTACAGTACCGTTTTACTTTTTAACTTATATCAGTTCACAACTTCAAGCCCACTATTAGATGAATGCGTATCATACTGACACTACATCAAATTCTATTGGATACTCCTTTAAAGTAGCTTAATGGAGTATTTCATCAGCTAAATACAGGCATATTTAACCCTTAAACTGTCCAAACATAGATCTACGTTTACGTGCGTAGTGCTCCGATCTTTATTTTCTCCATTTGAAAGCATATAAAAAAGTAAACCTACGTTTGGAGCACTACGCACATGAACGTAGATCTACGTTTGGACCGTTTAAGGGTTAAAAAACTTGTAAGCAGCAGACCTTTATAACCTACAGGCATAAAGAAAAAAGCATGTTGTTCAAGATTACTGTTAATGCTGTATTTTTATATACACAAACCTCATAATCAGGTCCTCCCATGACTACCACTCTTCTAGTAGTTGGCCTCTCTTTTGCAATGTCAGCAAGAGCATGATTCAACCTCTCCTCTAGTCGCCTCTGCTTCTCTCCTTCACGTTCTAAACGTTTCTTGAAAGATTCTTCCCTCTGATTCATAACATCTACACAATGGCTCAAAGTGGTCAGGATCCCAGCAGTTGTTGCCTATTATAAATATTTTCAAATCTTAGTATTATTCACAGTTATTGATAGACAAGCAGTAAATTTTTACCAATATTTGTAACACATCATCACCTGATTAGAGGATAATTCTACCAGTTGTGGCAAAAGAAATAGAGTAGTACAGTGTATGCTTTAGGGTGTCATCTACCACACACAGGAAACATTAGCCTATTAATACAATCATGGGGGGTGCTAAACCCCAAGGGATTAAACAGTGCCTGTGGAGGGGGGGAATGGAGGGTAATCAGGCTCAATTCAGGGAAATGGAGCACAGATCTAATTCCTTAGATCAAGAGCCCCTCACCAGCATCAAGGAACCTCCCTTGAAGGGTACATTAGCTTAAAAGATTCCTGAGTTGAGGTAACTATATAGACTTTGAAGTAAAAGAGTAACCAAACATCAGCAGAGCCTTTGTTTACATGACTAAGAGCACCCAGTCAAAGCATGGAGATGGTTCCATGCTTTGACTGGGTAAGTGGACTGAATGATAAAACTGGCAAAACTAGACAAGACAGGAATGACTTGACAAATCAAATAAAGATAATGAAAATTTAACAATTCAAATAAATACAATGAAAAACTCTCACACCTCATGCAAAAAAAAAAACCACTTCAAATGTTACCTGATACAGTACAGAAACCTTCATGCTAAATTCCAAACTCCAAAAACCACCAAAATCCTAAAGTTTTTCAAGTGTTGACATGACAAGCCATAAATGAATCTTTCAGTTTGTTGTCAGCAGAAAATTACTCATTACCATGTGTTTTGTGCTGTGTGGTTAGAAGATATTGTTGAAAATGTCAAATAGGCTATGGGTAATATAGGCAGGCCCCGCTTTACAGCACTTCACTTTACAACGTTTCGCTAATCCAGTTTTCAATTATACCCACTCTTCATTTATTCAGAATTCCTACAATAAATATACTCAACACTCACTATAATCTAAGGACAAAAATATTTGAAGGTAAGTAATATGTGTACTGTATATGCATTTTTTAGGCTTGGCTATACTGCTCGCTTAATATACGAGTGTAAATGTGTTGTTAGGCTTTTATGTGCATTTGAAAGCATAAAAAGGCTATGATTCACTATACAGCAATTTAACAATTTTCACTTGACAGCAGTAGCCTGGAACCTAACCTGCTATACAAGCAGGGCCCTCCTGCAGTGAAAAGAAAGAGAGAAAGTATTTATGTTTATCTATATCACAAAGTAAAGTTTTAGAAAAAACCTGAGTGGTTTAAGTGTGAATCATCTGACTGAGGAGTTTGGTGTTGGAACAACCACTATTTACAACCTAAATAAACAGAAGGACAAGTTGCTGAAGTTCTATGTTGAAAGTGATGAACACAAGTTAATGAAATATAGAAAAAACACTGCACAGAGGGAAATATAAAGCTCTCAATCGTGTACTGATGGAGTGGATTCGTTAGCATCGAAGTGAGCATATGCCACTTAATGGAATAAGTAAGTTTATTTAGGTACAAGTACACAAATACAGTTACACAAATTATCATACATAGTAACATATGAGCAAATTACAAAAAATTACAAAATGTAGGATTGCGGATGAGCAAGGTTTTAGAGTGGGTAGGGGATGTGTAGATCAAGTGTTTACATTGAAGCATATATGTGAACAGTATTTAGATAAAGGTAGGGAAGTTTTTATTGAATTATGGATTTAGAAAAGGCATATGATAGAGTGGATAGGGAAGCAATGTGGCAGATGTTGCAAGTATATGGAATAGGTGGCAAGTTACTAAATGCTGTAAAGAGTTTTTACGAGGATAGCGAGGGTCAGATTAGGGTGTGTAGAAGAGGGAGACTACTTCCCGGTAAAAGTAGGTCTTAGACAGGGATGTGTAATGTCACCATGGTTGTTTAATATATTTACAGATGGGGTTGTAAAAGAAGTAAATGCTAGGGTGTTCAGAAGAGGGGTGCGATTAAATTATGGGGAATCAAATACAAAATGGGAATTGACACAGTTATTTTCTGCTGATGATATTGTGCTCATGGGAGATTCTAAAGAAAAATTGCAAAGGTTAGTGGACGAGTTTGGGAGTGTGTGTAAAGGTAGAAAGTTGAAAGCAAACATAGAAAAGAGTAAGGTGATGAGGGTAGCCAATGATTTCGATAAAGAAAAATTGGATATCAAATTGGGGAGTAGTAGTATGGAGGAAGTGAATGTTTTCAGATATTTTGGAGTTGACGTGTCGGCAGATGGATTTATGAAGGATGAGGTTAACCCTTTGAGGGTCGACAGGCCCTCTCCGAAACTCGTTCTCAGGGTCAGCCAAATTTAAAAAAAAAAAAATTCTCTTAGGAAAAGATAGAGAATCTTTTCCCGATCATAAGGACACCAAAAGTTTGAAATTTGATGGAAAACTTACGGAATTATGCTCTCGCGAAGTTAGCGGTCTCGGCGATGTTTACGCATCGGCGATTTTGCCCACTTTGAGCCCCATTTTCGGCCAATTCCACTGTACTAGTCGACAAAAAACATGAATATTTCACTAGAACTCCATTTTTTCTATCGAATGGGTGCAAGAAACCACCCATTTATGAAATTCAACTATCCAGTACAGTGGTCAGAATTTAGCAATTTTGCCAATTTCACACAAATTTCAAAAGATGCCTATTTCCGAATAGGGTCCAGAATAAACAAGAAAGACATTCCTGGCACTAAAATGATATTTCCTCTGGTCATTAGTCACGTCTCAAGGCCCCTCTTATATTCTTTTGCTTTCCACTTTGAATTTTTATTCTCACAAAAAATATAAGATTTACTGTTATGCAGACTACTGCATTAGTGTAAAAAATGGTATAAATATTATTGGCACACTTGTGAAAGAATATTAGACTCACCAGTTGACGTATATTGGACGCTTGGCACGATTTGTTTACTTTTGAAATTTGGTAAAAATCGAACATTTCTGCTCCTTTGAGCTCAATTTCAAGGTACCTTTCATTGTAAAATCAGTCAAAATCATCGCAATTTCTGTAATATGTCTTCCATTCTATAAAATGAGACCAAGAAAACTAGAATACAACAATAAATACCATACGAAAATACAGTGCAAAGTCGCTGTTTTATTCCAAGAAAACGGTCAAAGTTTTTTTTTTCTCATTATGCACTGTGTGCTGCAGGATTTTTTTTAGACTGTGCACACTGACCACATAGACCCATTCTTTCATATGAAGGCCTACCAGCTTTCTCCCAATAGATTTGAGGGCGCTAGAATTTAGGCGTACAAGTACGTCAAAAACCCTGGGTCGTAAGCCGTACTAGTACATCCGAAACCCTCAAAGGGGTAATCATAATATTGATGAAGGAAAAAACATGAATGGTGCGTTGAGGTATATGTGGAGACAAAAAAACTTTATCTATGGAGGCAAAGAAGGGAATGTATGAAAGTAGTATAGTAGTACCAACACTCTTATATGGGTGTGAAGCTTGGGTTGTAAATGCTGCAGCGAGGAGGCGGTGGAGATGTTTTGTCTAAGGGCAATGTGTGGTGTAGATATCATGCAGAAAATTCGGAATGTGGCAATTAGGAGAAGGTGTGGAGTTAATAAAAGTATTAGTCAGAGGGCTGAAGAGGGGTTGTTGAGGTGGTTTGGTCATTAGAGAATGGATCAAAGTAGAATGACATGGAGAGCATATAAATCTGTAGGGGAAGGAAGGCGGGATAGGGGGTCGTCCTTGAAGAGGTTGGAGGGAGGGGGTAAAGGAGGTTTGTGGGCGAGGGGCTTGGACTTCCAACAAGCATACGTGAGCGTGTTAGATAGGAGTGAATGGAAACAAATGGTATTTGGGACCTGACGAGCTGTTGGAGTGTGAGCAGGGTAATATTTAGTGAAGGGAATCAGGGAAACCAGTTATTTTTATATAGCCAGATTTGAGTCCTGGAAATGGGAAGTTCAATGCCTGCACTTTAAAGGAGGGGTTTGGGATTTGAGTCCTGGAAATGGGAAGTACAATGCCTGCACTTTAAAGGAGGGGTTTGGGATATTGGCAGTTTGGAGGAATATGTTGTGTATCTTTATATGTATATGCTCCTAAAGTGTTGTATTCTGAGCACCTCTGCAAAAACAGCAATTATGTGTGAATGAGATGAAAATGTTGAATGATGATGAAAGTATTTTCTCATTGGGGATTTTCTTTCTTTTTGGGTCACCCTGCCTAGGTGGGAGATGGCCAACTTGTTGAAAAAAAAAAAATTGTGTGACTATTAATGCATACCTTTACCTAAATAAACTTACTTATGATACTACTTGTACTCCATCCAACTCCACTGCCTGGTTTATCTTAGCCTGCCGCTGGTAAGCGCTAATGAATTTTTACAATTATGATTATTTTTGCTTTTCCTCATTTTGTAAAAAATAGTTTACACAATTTATTACTGGGTCATATACAGGAGCTTAGATTACTGTCTAGTATCAAAACACTTCTCTAGGCTTAGAGTGAGGCCTATGAACAAGGTAACCTTCGGCCTCCAAGATGCTGGGTAAATTTTCCAAAACTTATTTTTGAGGGAAAAAAAAAAATTAGCTTCTTCAAGACTGTAAAATATGGCATCTTCTTTTCATAAGCAGTGATCATTTTTTCTTTTGGTACAGAACCTGTTCAGTAAAGTACCTCATTGAGACTTGGGTCTCATCCCCAAGCTATCCCGTTTTAAAGATGCAAATATACAAATATTCCAAAATCCGAAAAAATCCAAAATCCAAAACACTTCTGGTCCTAAGCATTTCAGATAAAGGATTCTGTACTATATAATAATCACTGCAAAGACGGTGATTATATATGAGTGAGGTGAAAGTGTTGAATGATGAAGTTTTTTCTTTTCGGGGATTTTCTTTTTTTTTTTTTTTGGGTCACCCTGCCTCGGTGGGAGACGGCCAACTTGTTGAGAAAAAAAAAAAAAGGAAAAATAAATAAAGGAAACAACAGAAATGGATAAGAAATTTTTAAGGACACATTTGATATAAAGAAAGTAAAGCCTTGAAGTATAAAACAAAAATAGAAGATAGTTATGTGGAATAACAAAGCAGAAGATAAAACTAGATCAACAGTTGCAGCTTACTCATTATATCACAGAAAATGTCAACAAAAAAACTCTGACAGAGATAAAAAGGCTAGGGGAATTTAAAGCTATAATAAAAGATAACTAAGAAAAAAAAAAAGTAATACCTATGGAAATTACAACTACAGCCAACATTAGTTTTGAAATAAAAAAAAAGAATGTGGACAAAGAAAAGACTATTTTTAGCTGTTCTGAAAAAATCAGAATCAGAAAGAGAATAAAAAAAGTCACAAGGGCTTAGAGAATTTTAGTATTCACGACCATATAGTGGGATGCAAGAAAATTGGAAAATATGAAAAGACCACTGAAAATAATATTCACTAAGGTTAAGCATAAGAAAATCTTAAAAAAAAAAAAAAACTGAGGATGTAAGAAAATTGGAAGGTTATAAAGACATACCAATAAGACAACACCTTTTCAAAAGAGAATAATGTGAAAAAAAAAAACTTAACAGCCAATCGATTAAAGGAGGGAAATGGAGAGACAAACAGGTGTTAAAATAATATAGATACATACTAACAGATGGAATAATTTATAAAAAACTAGAGCCAAAAAACATTATACAAAAGAAGAAACCTAATAGGGTCTATCGAAATGAAAATAAACTGTAAAAAAAAAAACATTTTAAATGAAGTTGTATTTTATGGAAACTACTTAGTGTGAGGAAAAGAAAGTGGGTAAAAAAAAAAGGGGAATTGGTAATACTGGTTGAAGAAACAATAGATGTTTTAGAAATTAAAATAAACACAAATAATGTGGAAATTTTAGTGACAGAAATCTAAAATAAAGACAAGAAAATCTTTTTTTTTTTTTTTTTTTTTCGAGTCGGCCATCTCCTACCTAGGCAGGGTGACCCAAAAAAGAAAGAAAATCCCCAAAAAGAAAATACTTTCATCATCATTCAACACTTTCACCACACTCACACATTATCACTGTTTTTGCAGAGGTGCTCAGAATACAACAGTTCAGAAGCATATACATATAAAGATACACAACATATCACTCCAAACTGCCAATATCCCAAACCCCTCCTTTAAAGTGCAGGCATTGTACTTCCCATTTCCAGGACTCAAAAAAAAGACTTGGGAGAAAGAATTTGACAAGGTAAATATAGGATAATATAAGGAATTTTTCCTAGGTAGTAGGTTGGTAGACAGCAACCACCCATGGAGGTACTACCGTCCTGCCAAGTGAGTGTAAAACGAAAGCCTGTAACTGTTTTACATGATGGTAGGATTGCTGGTGTTTTTTCTGTCTCATAAACATGCAAGGTTTCAGGTACATCTTGCTACTTCTACTTACACTTAGGTCACACTACACATAGTACAAGCATATATATACACACCCCTCTGGGTTTTCTTCTATTTTCTTACTAGTTCTTGTTCTTGTTTATTTCCTCTTGTCTCCATGGGGAAGCGGAACAGAATTCTTCCTCCGTAAGCTATGCGTGTTGTAAAAGGCGACTAAAATGCCGGGAGCAAGGGGCTAGTAACCCCTTCTCCTGTATATATTACTAAATGTGAAAGGAGAAACTTTTGTTTTTCCTTTTGGGCCACCCCGCCTCGGTGGGATACGGCCGGTGTGTTGAAAGAAGAATAAGGAATTTTTGCTCAAAAGTGATGGAAATAATAATAATGTTACTGTAAATGGAGATTTCAACCATACAGACAAACTAGACAATCTATAAGGATAGAACTGTAAATAAATGATCAAAAGATTTTCAAATCTGAGGCCTGAAGGTGGGAAGTACAGTGCCCATTCTCTCTATGAGGAGTGAGCCATTTAAACTGCAATATCAGCACACTTTGGCAATAAGGTGATTTAATGAGTGATGGTGAAAGTGTTTCCTCTTTTTTAGGTCACCCTACCTTGATTGGAGAGTGACAATGTTTAAAAAGAAATAATAAAAAAGGAAAGAAAGAATGGATAAAGAAGTTTTTTAGTACTATCAACAGGGGTAACAAGAGGCCACAGATGTAAATTAAAAAAACAAAAACAGGGCCAAAAATGATACTGTACCTTAAAATTTTTCTGTGCAAACAGTGGTGGAAGAATGGAATAAATTGAAAGAGGATTTAGCATTTGTACAAAGTACAAATAGGCAACTAGCAGTATGAAGCTGTGGAAAACAACATTTTACAACACAGTGAAACCTCAGTGTAACATATTAATGGGGATATGGGGTATCTGTCTATTTTAAAGGAAATCCTTTGTAGTATAGAAGTGATTGTTCAGTGCAACAGATGATGATGTCCACTGCATTGATGGCACTACAGGACATATGGTACTAAGAATAAACTACATTTCATTACAGTGCATAAATTACAGTACACTGCCTGAAAATGAAAGTTAAGGTACAGTATTTCTTACCTTTCCTAGTGGATAGATGAGCTAATAGCTGGTTTTTCCACACTTCTACAAATGTCAGACACCATTTGATTTGCTACACCATACTCCTCACACCTGGACCACTGACATGTCAATTTCACCTTCCTTACCAATTTCAGTTTCTGCTTAACACTTCCATGCACCATCACTTACTTTGAAGGCTATTGTTAATAACAGTGAACAGGGCACTTCAATAAATTAAATGTAAACACTGTAAATCCAGGGAAAAGCGAAGACCAAATAATAGTATGGGAGTGAGTGTGCAAACAATAAACAGTCACAAGGTGAGTCACTGGCCCCACTTGCCCAGGAACAATGAAAACAAACAGGTTTGGAATGCATCCTGGACCAGACAAACCTGTGATGAAGTGAACTTTATTTGCTTCATCGATAGTATGACAGGACAGAACAACCAAGTGATTCAGAGGACTTGGTCCACTAGACTGACAATTCTACAGGACACCCTTGTGCAACAGACTCACTGAGCCTTTGTCCGAAAAGATTCTTTCGTTTTATCCAAAATACATTGCATGGGGTCCATTATACCAAGAATCCATGCAATGGGGCCTTGTTAATATTTCCAACTACATGCTGTACCTGTAAAGTATGATTACAGGTACAGCAGCTTCTTCATCTTTGATGTATTAGTAAGAATTCTCCTCAAAACAATAAACCTTGCTATCACATAGATGATACCACTACCACTACTACTACTATCACCATCACAAGCACTAAAACTACTACTGCCATCACAAGTACTACAACTACTACTACCATCCCAAATACTACTACTACTACATACCTACAATTATATTATGCTTTACACCTTACTCTGTACCTATATATACTCCTCTGTATCCCTGTACTGTTTGTAACAGTTTGACAAAGCTCCTGGAGAGCAAAACGTTGCAACAATAAAATGTCTCATTAGTTCCACTTGTGTCCTTCTACCTAACATAATGTCGTTAATTCTACCATTATTACAATACTTTACCTTATCAAATTTAAAACTAAAACATTCTCCAGATCTTTTAATAATTTCCTTTTGCTTTTCTTCACATTCCATTTTGTGCATAATGCTCTTAGTAATTTTTTTTATATTTTTTTAACACATCAGCCATTTCCCACCAAGGCAGGGTGACCCGAAAAAGAAGACACACTTTCATCATCATTCACGCCATCACTGTCTTGCCAGAGGCATACCTACACAAAATTATTTATCAAACGTATCTTTGCTTATTATTCTTTAGCATTTATCAAATAGGATAAGAGAAGCAGAACTAATGTAGGCTTTATTGTCAAATCCATCATGTGGTATAATTTTATGTCTGCATATCTTACTTAAGACATCTAGACTAACCTTGCATTTGTACAATAAGTACCTGATCCATAAAGTATCATCAACCAACTTACCTTAAAAGTGAGGGCTTCTCCACGGAAATCCAATGCATAGGCACCATGTTTTAGCAGGATTTCTTTACTAACTTGAGGATAAGGAAGATGGTGTGGAGAAAATGCTCTACCACCAACTTTAGGAGACTCTCCAAGGCCATACTCTGCAGCCACAGCTACTTCAATTGTCCCATCATTCTCTGATTCGTGACCATTACCTGTGTAATTTTTTAGCAACCTTTAACATGTTTTAACAACTGCCATTTCCCACTAAAGCAGTCACCCAAAGAAGGAAACACATTCACCATCATTTATTCCTTAGCTGTCTTTCCAAAAATGCAGACATCACAATTCAATTAAAACGATAAAATTATAAAATGAAATCCTCTGATATGAAATGGTGTTGCTCATACAACTACTGTAGCCATTTAAATAACCTCACAAGAAGCAAGGTATCTCCAACCCCCAAATAACTCTTGCACCTTATCCTGCAAAATCAGGAAAAATATGACAGGAATTAGTGTCTGATAAAATTTGGTTCCACGTTTTCCCTTCCACTTACTTTAAAACTTCCATGGTATAAACAAGTGTGGATTTGTTGAAAAGTGCAGAAATGAGTTCTAGGATGTGGAAAAGATTTGTACAGTGTAAGAATGAGTTTGCAGCTAATTAGAAGGCTGTGGAAGTGAGCAGTATTTAGGATAGGGTACATGATTAAGTTGCAGGGTTGTAAAAAAGGTTCAGAGTGAGTTGGATATATACAAGATCAGACAGCAGAAGTGTGGGATGGGTGTGGGTAAGTCCTAAGAGTGTGGGAAATAGTTGTATGGGTTGGGGAGGTAGGATTATGGGAGGGCTGTGAGTAAGTTGTAGTATTACAGGAGTGAGAGCAAGTTTGTGGAATTAACTGTAAAGGTGTGGAAGTAAGTTCTGGGGTTGAGAGAGAGGAGTGTGAGATGAGTGGAACTGCAAGAATGGTACTAGTCATGATTGAGAACTATACCATGATAACTTACATGTAGGTTCAGCATTCTTTACATCCTTTACAGTTTCAGCACAAGCATCAAAATAAGATTGTAAGGTATCCATCTGACGTAACAAAATATCTCTGTATGTCTCCAGTTCAGCTAGTTTCTCTTTCAGTCCTGCAATATTTAAAGAAAATTAACAAGAGATTATAAATTCACATACATGTATACTACAAGTAAGTTATTTCTATACTGACAGACTGTGGGGCTGTGGCACAGCCAGGATTTCAATCTGAGGAGGAGGCCTTAACCAGGATTTCACTCAGGGGTGCTTAAAAATCATAGGATTCTTAAATATCAAAGAATTCATTTTTAAAAGAATATGATTTTTGGTATGTATGTGAAATTGCTTAAACTGTTATACTTTCTTGATCAATATAATATAGTCTCTCCTCACTTCACAACCAAGTGCCATTCCTAAGACCACATTGGTAAGTGAATTCATTGCTAAGCAAGGAGCATACTATAATGGTAGTGGATTTGTGTCAACAATCTTTGAAACTGTTTTAATGTCACCTTTGCACCATTTATAACATTTTTAGTATATTTTTAAATGTTTATACAGTAGTGTACTGTACAGTGGAACCTCGGCTTACGAATTTAATCCATTCCGCGGACTTGTTCGTATCCTGATTTGTTCGTATGCTAGGTCAATTTTCCTCATTTAAATTAATTGAAATGCAATTAATTCGTTCCAGCTGAATTCCTGCTCTCAGAAGGCACAACAAAATAACCCTAATATCAACTCTATGGCTTATTTATCTGTCACAATTCATCTAATATGACATAACAAACAATAAAAATAACATAGAAACCTGATATACACTCTAGAATGAATAAAATGTCATTATATGGACAGCAGAGGGAGGAGGATTGTGGTCGCAAGAGTGGTCACGCATTCTCGCTATGAAAACGTCAGAGGAGTTATTATAAGAGAAAACGGAGTTTGTGAGGCTAACCGAATTAGATCTGGTGTATATACGACATTTACATACCTTGAAGAAGAAATGCAGAGCAGCATATCCTGCCAGGAGTTCACACTTTTCTTAAGAACTGCTATGTACAGTTTTTGTTTATCTCACTACACTACGCATCTCCTGTGAGCTGTTTCTCCGTCAACCATGTCAACAGCAGCTTTTCCATCTTTTCATTGACAGAGGGCCACTGCTTAGAAATTACTGTAATGCCCTTTGCTGGCACTATAGCTTTTATAGACTAATTCTGCTTTAGTACTGTACATACAGTAGAGGGGCTACGCTTGTACTCACTCGCCAAGTCCTTAACCCTCGTACCTAGTCTGTGCTTATCAATGATTTCTTGCTTTAATTCCATGCAAATCATCCTCTTTCTTCTCAGCACTGTCCTTTGCACTTGCTTTCTTAGACCCATGGTTAGAAAAAAGAAATCTGGTGAATTAACTGCACAAAACGTAAGGAAATCATGAGAATTCCTTGCACCAGGAGGGTACCTCTGTAATCACATGTGCACTGGCGAGCACCGTGGTGGTGTTGTCAAACTAAATTATACGCAGTACATACACAATATTTTTTTTTTTTGTTTTTTTTTTTTTAACAAGTTGACTGTCTCCCACCGAGGCAGGGTGACCCAAAAAGAAAGAAAATTCCCAAAAAGAAAATACTTTCATCATTCAACACTTTCACCACTCATACATAATCACTGTTTTTGCAGAGGTGCCCAGAACACAACAGTTTAGAAGCATATACATATAAAGATATACAACATATCCCTCCAAACTGCCAATATCCCAAACCCCTCCTTTAACCCTAAACGGTCCAAACATATATATACGTTCTCTCTAGTAGCGCCCCAAATGTATATATACGTTTCATTTGTCATTCATTCAACATTGGCACGATAGGCCTGAGTCGCCTAGACATGAGAGAATCAAATCAAATCAAATCAAATCCAAGTTTATTCTCTATAAGGATTACAATGCAGGGTTTACAGATTTTGGTTATTGTGTGGTTTACATGTAATAAAATACTAATTACAGAGGGGGTCACTAGAACACCTAGCATAGCTAGGCATTTCGGGCAAACTTAGAATAATTCTTAACCCTAAATTATTATAAATTGTAGAGTAAGTTGACTAAATACTAAGTGACTAAATACTAGTTTGTGAGTTTAGCAATGTGAATGCTTTTGTTTTGGCACAATACATAGTTTCTATATTGGAGTATCACAGGCAAACTTATGACTAGAATGGGTGCGTGCACTCAAGTGAAAGCCATATGAAAAAAACTGAGGATGCCTGGGTAACATGCTCTTTTTTTCCTAAAAAAAAAAAAAATTTTCCTCAAAATATTCGGGGCGCTACGCGAGAGAACGTATATATACGTTTGGACCGTTTAAGGGTTAAAGTGTAGGCATTGTACTTCCCATTTCCAGTACTTAAGTCCGGCTATATAAAAATAACCGGTTTCCATGAATCACTAAACTAAATATTACCCTGCTCACACTCCTACAGATCGTCAGGTCCCAAATACCATTTGTCTCTATTCACTCCTAACATGCTCACACATGCTTGTTGGAAGTCAAAGCCCCTCTCCCACAAAACCTCCTTTACCCCCTCCCTCCAACATTTTCGAGGATGACCCCTACTCCATTTTCCTTCCCCTACAGATTTATACTCTCCATGTCATTCAACTTTGATCCATTCTCTCTAAATGACCAAACCACCTCAACAACCCCTCTTCAGCCCTCTGACTAATACTTTTATTAACTCCACACCTCCTAATTTCTACACTCTGAATTCTCTGCATAATATTTACACCACACATTGCCCTTAGACAGGACATCTCCACCGCCTCCAATCGCCTCCTCGCTGCAGTATTTACAACCCAAGCTTCACACCCATATAAGAGTGTTGGTACTACTATACTTTCATACATTCCCTTCTTTGCCTCCATAGATAATGTTTTTTTGTCGCCACATATACCTCAATGCACCATCCACCTTTTTTCCTTCATCAATTCTATGGTTAACCACATCCTTCATAAATCCATCCAGCATATGGGAATCTTTATTCAGGAAACGTTTCGCCACACAGTGGCTTCATCAGTCCAATACAAAGAGGAAGGCGTAAGGAGAGGAGGAGAATGAGGTAATCAGTCCCTCAACCTGGAGTCGATGTGTTCAGTCCATCAATCTTGTAGAATGTACAGCATAGGGCCGTAGACGTGGCTTATATACTGTAGTGAGGTGACGTGAAGCAGATGGAGGCGGGGTCATAGTGGTACCATCCACTAGTCGAAGTAGGTCTTCGTCCAAAGGTTGAACAAGTGTTGAAGAATTCTTTGTAACAAGATCCCATGATGATGCAGCCTTCCTCTTTGTATTGGACTGATGAAGCCACTGTGTGGCGAAACGTTTCCTGAATAAAGATTCCCATATGCTGCATAAGTGTCTCAATCTTCAACTTGTCGGTTTTTCAAACCATTCATCACACACATAAATCCATCCACTGACGCGTCAACTCCCAAATATCTGAAAACACTCACTTCTTCCATACTCTTCTCCAATTTGATATCCAATTTTTCTTTATCTAAATCACTGGATACCCTCATCACCTTACTCTTTTCTACGTTCATTTTCAACTTTCTACCTTTACACACACTCCCAAACTCATCCACTAGCCTTTGCAACTTTTCTTTAGAATCTCCAAATAAGCACAGTATCATCAGCAAAAAGTAACTGTCAATTCCCATTTTGTATTTGATTCCCCATAAAATATTATTATAATTATTATTGTACTATTATGTATTATTATATTATTATATATTATTTTTTTTTTTCAACAAGTCGGCCGTCTCCCACTGAGGCAGGGTGACCCAAAAAAGAAAGAAAATCTCCAAAATGAAAATGCTTTCATTATCATTCAACACTTTCACCACACTCACACATAATCACTGTTTTTGCAGAGGTGCTCAGAATACAACAGTTTAGAAGCATATACGTATAAAGATACAAAACATATCCCTCCAAACTGCCAATATCCCAAACCCCTCCTTTAAAGTGCAGGCATTGTACTTCCCATTTCCAGGACTCAAGTCCGACTATATGAAAATAACCGGTTTCCCTGAATCCCTTCACTAAATATTACCCTGCTCACACTCCAACAGATCGTCAGGTCCCTAGTACCATTCGTCTCCATTCACTCCTATCTAACACGCTCACGCACGCTTGCTGGAAGTCCAAGCCCCTTGCCCACAAAACCTCCTTTACCCCCTCTCTCCAACCCTTTCGAGGACGAACCCCTACCTCGCCTTCCTACCCCTATAGATTCATATGCTTTCCATGTCATTCTACTTTGATCCATTCTCTCTAAATAACCAAACCACCTCAACCCCTCTTCTGCCCTCTGACTAATACTTTTATTAACTCCACACCTTTTCCTAATTTCCACACTCCGAATTTTCTGCATAATATTTACACCACACATTGCCCCTAGACAGGACATCTCCACTGCCTCCAACCGTCTCCTCGCTGCTGCATTTACCACCCAAGCTTCACACCCATATAAGAGTGTTATATATTATATTATTATATATTATATAATATTATTATATTATTATTATATTATTATATAGTATTACATATTGGTATTATTATATTATACGTTATTATTACGTATTATCATTACATATTAGTACTTAGGCATTATAATAATATTTTTTATTTTATTTATTTTTATTATCACACCGGCCGATTCCCACCAAGGCAGGGTGGCCCGAAAAAGAAAAACTTTCACCATCATTCACTCCATCACTGTCTTGCCAGAAGGGTGCTTTACACTACAGTTTTTAAACTGCAACATTAACACCCCTCCTTCAGAGTGCAGGCACTGTACTTCCCATCTCCAGGACTCAAGTCCGGCCTGCCGGTTTCCCTGAATCCCTTCATAAATGTTACTTTGCTCACACTCCAACAGCACGTCAAGTATTAAAAACCATTTGTCTCCATTCACTCCTATCAAACACGCTCAAGCATGCCTGCTGGAAGTCCAAGCCCCTCGCACACAAAACCTCCTTTACCCCCTCCCTCCAACCCTTCCTAGGCCGGCCCCTACCCCGCCTTCCTTCCACTACAGACTGATAC